AAAAAAAAAAAAAAAAGAAAAATAAGAAATTTACTGTTTAGCACCTGAAATATGCATCTTTTAGAGCATTATTTAAAAATGTTTGTTCTGATTCCGCTCAAAAAAAAAAAAATAACCTTGATCAGTGGAGCAGTTTCGACAATCAAATTGTCTAATGTCCGATTACGTTTGGCTTGTCGACGATCAATTTCTTTTGCTAAAAAAATATTCTATAAACTGAATGTTCAGCAGCAATGTTTATTGCAAACAGTATTTGACATATAACAACAGAAACCAATTTCTATACTTCAGATTCTTAGAAAAAAAAAAATACAGCTTTTTATTGATATTTTTTCTTCTCTCTTATCGTCATTAATTAACAATAATTTTTTGTTGTAATTATTACTGTTATATAATCATCATAGCTTTTACTTTACACAGCTTTCAATTTGATAAACACATCTTTATTTGTCATCTTAATTGCACTGTACCGTAGTGCTACTGTCTCAGTCAGTCTATAATAGAATCGTTAGCAAAAATAGGAGAAAAAGAGGAAGCAAAAAAAGATTGAATGATAAGAAAAAAAACTTCGAAATTTAACCAATAATTATATTTTTGATAACTTCAAAAATGAATCAAATAATCAACAAAAAAATGAGAAAGAAAATAAATAAAAGAGAAGAAATTAAGAGAAAAATATTTTGATGCCACCAACATTTCCATTGGTATGGTGGTGATTGACAGTTATTTCATTGTGCTGAATGAATGGAACGTGAGGATGGACCGGGTAACAGGGTAGCACAAATTTAGCATTCTATATAACGGCATAACTGTCAGCTAAACAAATCACGAGCAATTTTTCTAACCCTATATAATTTTAACAGATACTGAACACTGAACGACATAAGTATTGTAATTGTCAAAATTGGAACTGTTAAACAATAAGGAAGAACAAAAAAAAGAAAGAACAGAAAAAAAAGACAGATTAAGATGCAATTTCAATTCCGTACTATGGCAAATTTGGTGCTTGGATATTTCTCAAGTTCCAATACAACAGGGAACACTAATTGTGCTGTTTGAAGGAACAATCCGACCGAGACAACAACTGACAATACATATGTTCATCAA